ATTAATTCTACTTGTGTATAAAGTTATTAATACATCAGTAGGAATATTAATTCTACTTGTGTATAAAGTTATTAATACATCAGTAGGAATATTAATTCTACTTGTGTATAAAGTTATTAATACATCAATAGGAAAATTAATTCTACTTGTGTGCACACAATTATTAATACATCAATAGGAATATTAATTCTACTTGTGTGTACACAATTACTAATATATCGGCAGGAATATTAATTCTACTTGTGTGTATAAAGTTATTAATATCACAGCAGGAATATTATTTCTATTAGCATTTACAAAATTATTAATATATCACCAGGAGAATTATTTGTATTAGTAGTTTCAAAATTATTAATACATCAGCAAGAATATTATTTCTACTACTGTGTTTCTCCTCAGTGATCTATTCTGATAAAGCTCAATCTGCCAGGTGCTGGTTTTGTAAACATTGTGGAATATAATTTAAAAGATGTGTAAAATATGATTTGAATTGTTACATTTATTAATTTCAAATAATAAAATGAACAAGTAAGTGTATGCTTACAATAAATATATTGCCAACATTATTTTACATGTTTTCTATTATGCGTATTGTACACAAGCTGGAGAATCTCTGTGTTAGACAGGTGAAATAAAAACTCATTTGTTTGTAACAAAGGATAGGAATTTGTGCTTCTAGTTTTTCTTTCTTAACATAATATACATTAAAAGTGCAATAAAAATACATAAAGATACCAATACTGCAAAAGAAAAGCAAACTGTTTTCAAGATTTCTAACAATAGTGGTTACATATTTCATTTTAATGCTGAGGGATATACAACATTGGTAGTTTTTCTGAAATTAGATAGGGAGTCCAATTCCCCTGACTTTCCTTGTGTTATACTTTATCATTTATTACTGTGTCAAGTTTGGTGCTAATTGATCAAGAAATGTGGAAACGTATAAGGAACAGACAGACAGACACACATATTGACCTTTATTTATATAAATTTATGCATTAACAAACAATAAATATTCTACAAAGATGTATTTATGCAGAAACATATAAATACCATATAACAGGTACCTGTGATGAACATGATTCCCAGACTGGACTATTAAGTTATTCTTCACATTTCCTGTTAAATTTGTTCAGTTAAATTCAACCAGGTTTAAGTGTTAACTATACTGGAGTTTGAATCCTGTTTTTGTTTTGGGTGGGGTGGGAGGGGTTGTTAGAATGAAGTTAGATTGATTCACAGAATATAATATATATATTTGACTCAAATCAGTGTTTTTACTGTTGTTAATATAAGCCTGAAATTTAAATGTTTACATAATGTATTTTTTTATTATTATTCTTAGAGCTGTTGAAGACAAAAACGTGGGACCTCTCATCAAAACCATCATGACCAGATGCATACACTGTACTCGTTGCATCCGATTTGCCAGTGAAATTTGTGGAGTGGATGACCTAGGAACAACGGGAAGAGGAAGTGATATGCAAGTGGGCACTTACGTTGAAAAAATGATCATGTCAGAATTATCTGGTAATGTTATTGACCTGTGTCCAGTGGGAGCCCTTACCTCAAAACCATATGCATTTACCGCCAGGCCTTGGGAGACTAGGTTTGAATTTTCTCTGTTTTTTTTTTTGTCCTTTTACTTTAATACAGCTGTATCCATTGGTTTTTGTTTAAAAATGCTAGCAAATGTTGGTTTTAGAATCCTTAAAAATATAATTAACGTATTGGCCCAATTATAGGGCGATCTTGAATATAAGGCGATCCCCATTTTCAGAAACCATGGGAAAGAAAAAATTGAGTTTCATAACGTCCTTTTTTTAGGTCCAAAAAATCAATACTATAACTGTACAGCAGGTGGAGTAGTTGCAAGAATTAGCGATGACCTTGAGTGAACATCTGGCACTCATGCTTAGACAAATATTATCTGGACATTCAGGAATGTGCTGGGCTAAAGTAGGTAGAAGGGGCCTGAGGTTGGCCATGATTATAAGATGACTAAGAATTTTACAGCCTAGTTATTAATCAAAAGACGTTGCCTTATAATCAAACCAATACGATATTGCCATTTCTATTTTCTTAACCTTTATTAATTGACATTATAAATCAGAAACTTTTTTCATATGAGGTGTATTCCAAACAAGCTATAATTTCTGTTTTTCAAAATTTAGTGTTCGTTTCAACAAAGTGTTTGAAGCATTATTTATGAGGAAGAAAAATATAAATTGAAAGGTCCTTGAAAAGCTGTCTTCATCAAGAATTCCCTTTTTACTCGTGATGAAAAATGAGTGTCACGGAGTATTACTGATTGACTGATATTAATTGATAAATGTTTTGTATCTTAAAAATACCTATCATGTTTGTATAGGAAAACAGAGAGTATAGATATTATGGATGCAGTTGGATCAAATATTGTTGTCAGCAGCAGGACCGGAGAAGTGCTTAGAATTCTTCCTAGGATGAATGAGGTGAGAAGTTACGTTCCTGATTTGTGTGCATGATCATTATAAAGATTGAAATACTTACTTTATGGGTTTGAAGCTTGAAAATATCTTGTGTAGGTTTACAGGGTTATGAAAATATACTAATTAAAAAATAAATATGTCAAATAAAGTTCACATTAAATGTAAGATAAATAAGATGAAAGAATAAAAATAAATAAATCATATTCTAGAAGTTTTTATGTCTTAGGCTTGAAATTAAGGCTTGAGTGTTGGATGAATTGTGTTGTATTTTATCTTTCTTTTGTAAAATATAGTGTACATTTTCATATTCTCATGACCAGCTTTACTTTATAACATACACTGTATTCTTTCTGTTTATACAGACTCGGTCGTTTTGACTGACCTTGTAACTATACCTCTGAATGTACTAAGTGCATCTTCGTGAAACCTGGCAAGCATTTGTATACATTACAAGACCATTCTACACCAAAATTTTAATTTTTTAATGGATTGTTTTTGCTAAAGATTTGTTTGTGAATTTATGAAGCCTTTTCTGAGTCAATCTGAGTTACTGGTGAATTCATGTGGAAAATAGAAATACTTTTTATCTCACAGTTTTCATATTTTATTTGCATAACCTCTAGAACCTCCTAAATGAATATTGAAAGTTTTTTCTTTTTCGTAATATTTTATGTTTTATCTCGTATTTTCTCTACCTTAACACTAACTGTACTGAAATAATTTATGTACACTGCAATGAAAAAGTTGAAAAAATATGAAATAAAATAAAAAATATCTTTTTTTTTCAAGGAAGACTGCATATTGTAACAGACAATCTCAGTAGTTTCTAAACTTTTTTGCATATTTTTTTTATTACTTTTATGGTTTTATTGTACTTTGAACCCTCATTTTTGGACAACCAACATTGTGAGAAATAAATAGGCCTATTAAATAATGCAAGTCTAAAATGAGTGCTAATATATATATATATATTTATTTATTATGTATTTTTTAACACAAGTAACTAAAATGTAAAAATTAGTAACTCATTATTGTAGGAATGCATATGGGATACTGTTGCATGATGTAACTGTGAAGGTAACTTGAGAGTATGTTTAACTAACTTGCCCTAAGCTCTTGTTTGGTATTTTATTGCTTTGTTACACTAATTAAACATGATTCTAAAAGTAATAAAATTAAATGAAAGTAGATGTGAAAATCTTGAAGATAAATAATTGTAATTTTCTATTACAATCTGCATTCATTTTAGAAAAAGAAAAAAATATATTCTTGAATTGATCTGAATAGAAGATTTCACTATAGTTAATATTAGGGTAGATAAAATGGGAGGTAATATATAAAGTTTTAACGAAAGAAAAACTTCTGATATTTATTTAGAAGGTTCTAGAGGTTATGCAAATCAAATATGAAACTATAGGATGAAACTTTGTATTTTCATTTTAGCAAGAAAATCACCTCCACTCAGACTGCCTCAGTAAAGTCTTTGTAAATTCACAGACAAATCTTTAGAAAAAATACTTTATTAAAAAATCTTTTTGTTATACAACATACTTGTAATGTTTACTAAAAGTATGTCATATTTCATGAAGATATACTTATTACTTTTAGAATTGCAATAGGTATAGTTTCATGGTTACATGGTGGTTACAAGGTCAGGCAAATTGGTTTAATTTCTATGCATAGGTTTAAGTATTGTTTTGCACTTAAGAAAAGAAAACTTAGGTAAAATCAAAAATTTTAAATTATAAACTATGTTTTGATGCCAAGCTTGTAAAGTTAGTTTAGTTACATTTTGAATGTAACTATGTAAAAAAAAGGTTATAATGTGTACACTTTGATCCTCCCATGTGCGTAGGGTTAAAATGCATTAGAAGAAATACATCTTTGTGACATAACTACTTTTATTTTGATTAATAAATCTAATCCAAATACAAATTACTTGTTATCTGTGGTATTGGCTACACTCACATCAAACCTGCCATTACTAGATCATTCACAAAAGCAAAAATTCATCCTAACATTAATAGTTTAACGGTTCCCCTTAAAACATCTTATTAATTAAATTATCATTCTTTTCCTAATTTATTTCCTGTTTAACTGCCTTTGATATATAGTTATATTACAATAAAATCCTCCCAAGAGTAAGATCTAAAAAAGTCTTTGTTAATCTGTATTTAAGCTGTAGCTCTTACCAGTTAATAATTATTTCCATTGGTTGTTTCAAGTAATTATATTTTCTTACTAGTGCTCATTAGAATATTTCTCTGATTTCTTCTACATTAAAAAAAAGCTTTACATAATCCTAGAAATGGAGATTTTCTTTCTGCTCAGATAATGTTGAAATGCTGAAACTGTTGTGTTGGTGATTTTGAAGTTTCAGGGATCATTTTCTCCTAACTAGTACACAAGTTTGTTAATACTGCTTTTCAGAATTTGCCTTTGCCAAAATTATGTTGAAGAATCGTCATTTATTAATAGAGATTTTGTAATTCAATGGGAAAATATATTATAAGATTCAGCTTTACTGTTATTATAAATGAATTTGTGTTTCGCATAGAAGAGGAAGTTTTTCGTGAAATTATTTGCATGCTAATTATAATATACATTTGATCTTTTGTCTAAAGTAAACAAGGAAGGCTGGGTAAATCTTCTTCTGTATTTTTTTAGGATATCAATGAAGAATGGTTGTCAGACAAATCAAGGTTTGCTTATGATGGCCTGAAGCGTCAGAGACTAACCTCGCCAATGTGTAAATCAAAAGAGGGAATTTTGGAACCTTGTGATTGGGAAGATGCATTAGTGAAAGTAGCACAGAAGGTGTGTTTATAGCTTTTATTGAACCTTAAGAAAAAAAATCTTTTTTACATAATGGTTCCCTGGTGGAATAGTGTTAAGTGTATGGACTTACAGTGCTAAAATCTGGGGTTTGATTCTCGTGGTGGATACAGCAGATAACCCAATTAGGCTTTATTCTAAAACAAACAATTATATGGATTATTATTACATTGGCAAACAAAGATTTATGAGCATAATGAAGTTTTATTTTGGGGAACATAATACATGTTTGATCCATATTCTTCAGGTCAAAACATGCATGTTCCCAAAAATATAATTTCATTAAGCCTAAAACTCCTTATTTGTCAATTTTCTATTATATTAGCAAATGTGCTTCTATGCACAAGTAATGAATTTCAACAAAACTGAGAATATAAAAGCACTAACTTTCTTGCTATGAGGTCGATTGGTTTGACAAGCCTCACAACCATTTTGTACTCATTATAGATTCTATACTGTAACTTGTAATACAGAATGTGTTTCTTCACAGGATTTAGCAGACTTTTAGCATACATTACAAGTTTTTTTTCCACAAAAAATCAGATTTTTTTAATAAAATAATTTTACTAAAGATTTGTCTGTGAATATATAGTCTTTTGTTCCACATTAAGGTTAAGAATACTTTTTTCATCTCAGAAATTTCAAATTTCATTTGCATAATCTCTAGAACCTCATATATAAATTTCAAATATTTTTTTATCAGTAAATCTTTACGTTTTATCTATTATTTTTTCTACCCTAACTCTATACCAGATTGGTCAATTTGACTGACCTTGTAACCACCAAACAAAAAATCAAAGTAAATATAAATATCCCTTTTTTCTTTCTAGAATGACTTCAAATTAAGATGAAACTGCATTTGTTTATCCTAAATAGCTTAAAGCTCCTAATAGTATACATCTATTTATACTTAAATTTTGTTGTTTTATTGCCCTTTGTACTGTGTTTAACTACTATTCCCGACATTATAAGTTGTAAATACCTTGCTGAACATATAGCTCACATTATGCTATTGAATTACATTACGTACGAGATACTTGCATGTGTACCTTGTGATAAATTTTTATTATATTATTTATTTTGCCTAATATAACCTTAACTGACCTAAAAAGTTTCCCATTTTTACATTTTAGTTACTTTTATAATAACAAATAAAAAATACACATAAAAAAACAAAAAATGAAGTACTTACCCGGGCCTTGTTTTTTTGCTGTAAACTGTTGATGACACTTAACCCTACTTCTTATACT